GTGTGTGCAGTTTTAGAGTATTATAGTCCTATTTTTTATGAGTCATGCCACAGTTTCAAACACAGCTTTAACGACTACCATCCCCTCTTCAACCAAATAACTGGTCCCTTCTTCCCAGGTCAGGAATACACTTTCTTGAATAAACAATCACTGCTGAATATAAAACATTATTTCTTTTTTAGGAGGTCACACTCTATGAGAAAAGGCTCCTACCTTTAGAGAGTCAAGATTATTTTCCTTTTGCCTCTGTCCCAAACTATTCTGTTTACAAGTATCTTAAAAACTGATTTCCATACCTCCAACCTTATTTCTTCAAAATATTTTACTTTCTTGGTCTTTTTCTGTTCTCTCTCTTCCATTTCTTCCTAACTGGTCAAATAATAGAAACTATTTCTAAAGAATGTTTGGTTCTTTAAAGCAGGAATACCACTTAAAGAAAGAAAAGAAACAAGGTCACTGGAAAAGTCTCTTCCATTTCAAGGCTTCCTGTCTCTTCTACTACTATAAAGAAAATTTCTTTTGGTGTGGACCTGGTCACCAACTACAGTAACGTAAACATGCCTCCAGAACTGTTCACAGGGAAGTTAGCATTTGATGGTGTGTCATGGTAGGCCCACTGAGGATAACGAAAAATATTCACTAAATGAATATTGATTTATAGAAGCAAGTGACAATTAATTAGAAGAATTTAAATTTCTTAATATTGATGGCCATAAGTTAAATACCTCATTTTCTGACATCATCCCTGGAGTAAGCTGTGGACCTGTCCCTAAGGAAATGACCAACACCTCTTCTGGTTGTACCTCCTGGATGGTTTCTTGAAATGGTCCTTCATGGTCCATATGTAGGTCCATTAGCACATTGGTGCGGCTCCTGCTCCGAGTTGCTAATAAAAAAATTTCAAATATGATAACTTAGAGAAAAAGACAAAGATAAAGAAAATAGTACACTAATACAAAAACATTTTTGATTAATGTAGAACACTTGCACATGCAACAAAAGTGATGAGAAATGAATAAGAAAAAAATATCTGTATCTTTCCAGTTACTCTCCTGATGACTAAAATAAAGATTCTCCTTCAAAACTGATAATCAGAAACAAGGATCCATGTTCACCTGACAGAGAGTGACACACAGATGACCACAATGACAGCAAAGATATCCCCATCAATTTAAGACTTAGGGTGACAAAAAAAACATTACCTTACTTCTTATCTTTTAAAGATAGCCTCAACTATTCTAGAAAATGATTTAGCTGCCACAGGTCTTCCATACTAATAACTGAACTAATTTATAAGCACTAGAAAGTCATATATAAACCTGATAGCCATATAGTGTAATATATGTTGGTCAGGCAACTACCGGAAAAATCAGAATTTTTCAAAACACATTGTTTTTCCTGAAGTGTATTAACCTCTTTCCAAAGATGTAGTCCAGAAGAGTCCTATGTTTGAATACAAGTTTCCTTTTTGCTCTATTAAATTAATAAAGGATCTAATTATTTTGGATCCCTACCTATAAATAAACAAGTAATACTTGTAACTCCTTATAACTCTTAAAAGAACTCTTGGACGCTAACAGACTTACATAATTTATGACAATTTCTCTATGAGTTTTTAATCTTCTGTCATAAGGTTTCAATTTTCCTTCAGAGGACAATACTCAGTACAACCAGAATACTAAATAGAGATTCTATTTCAGTGCAAAATAATCAAAAGTAGAGACAAACCAAAAACACTCTGTAAAAACAAGACTTTCAATTTTGAGTGAAAGATGACCTACTTGAAGACACAAATATAAACAATCACCTTTCCAAAATGCTGTAGATCTGGTAATTAATCACTATCAACGTTAAAAAATCAGAGCACACATCAACTTCCAAGAATAAAACACATTCACTCACACCTTATTTGCTGACCCTCACTTTCCTCTACTAAACTGAGAACTTAAATTCAACTTCATGAATTACATAAATCTTAAGTAAAAAACTTTGATTTATAAAAATGCAAGTAATCAAAATTCATGGAGCAATTTACATAAAGCAAAAGCAACATGCACATGGAGCACACTTTGAGACAATTTTTAAAATAAAAGTTAAATAAAAAGAGGAACAGCAGCCTATTACCCACCAAATGGGGTTACTAGAGTAATATGAGCAGTAAGATTGGTGGCTGAGGAATCCCAGGCAGTGATGGCTGCTAACTGTTGTCCTGGGTTGCGAAAGCATTAAACAGAAAGAAAATCAACCCTCTGAATAATGGACACATTAAAAAAAATATGAAATAAATTCAATGACCCAGTCATATGACTATACAAAATAAATCTGGGTAAACATATGAAATTTACTTCTATTATAGCCACATTTAATGACTTCTGGATGGCAAGAAATTAAAGAACGAATATACAGGAGTGAATAATGGAGAAAAAAAATCTGAATTAGAGTCATTTACTTCATGTTGAAAAAATGCAAATAGCCTGTAATATTAAAAATCATTAAATGTCAAACAATTTTTTTCTTATGTTTAATTTTGAAAATTGACATTCTGGCATGATGAAAACCAAGACTTGAATATGATGCTGCATCTTGATGATGTTATTCAATAGTATGCTGAATGTAAGGTAGATAATTTTTAGAAACTTACAAATCAGTTCTCATAAGTTAAAAACTGAAATCCCATTCTTCAAAATGCATAAATTACAGTGACTATTCATGTTCACTAATTGTCGCTAAGGTCCTCATTATCACTAAAAAATTGACACTAGATCACTCTGCAACCTTGGCTTGAACACTCTTTCCCTGTCTTGTTTACTTTCTCTAACGCCCATTTATCCTTCAAGACAAAGTACAGGCTTCACCTGCTCCAGGATCTTCTCCTGATACCATCACCACCTGGCTAAGTTAGGAAACCCCCATCAGACACTTTGTATACTCAAAGGTATGGTCTCTACTTTTCTGCCCAAAGAGACCACCAGCAACTAATTTAGAGTAAAGGCATGTCCTAATGGTCTCTGCAACCCCAGTGTCTAACACAGCTCCATCTTCAGGACAGTGATTATGCCTGCTCTTTTGGCATGCATTGTTTTGCATGGATTAAATGAAACATTTATAACGTGCTTACCCAATGTCTGATACATGGTATGTGCTCAATTTTTTTCATATAAATATGTATATAAAGATAAAAAATAGATATTTACTAAGTGAATAAAGCTTAAACCTAATTCTTAAATAAATAAGCTTGACAAAAAATTGAAACTTTTATTTTATACATTAACAAAAATAGCTCAGTTGATAAAAGACTATTAATAACAACAATAATGGAAAAATAGTAACTATGCATTTTCAACTTTACTGATAAAAACTTCTAAAATATTATTTTACTCTTCAGAATTTTGCAGAAGGACATAATTCAAATAATTACTACTTACAACAAATGACACTTCCACATTTTCCAAGACACAAAGATATACAAAATATACTACAGTGGTATGATTTCAATTAATTATGAAAAATACATCTAGATAAAGCTAAAGCCTACTGATAAAACTTAACAATTCTGGTGTAATTTAAAAAATTGAATTACTATCAATAAACTTGAAGAGAAAGACTTTTCCAGAGTATTTAAAACTATATTCCAAAACAATGAGCAATAGCAAACGCTAATAAAGAAATAACAAATTTAAGGGAAAGTCCTGATATAAGAAACTCTCTTTACCTATAGGCAATCGATTCTTTTTATTTGCTGGTGTGGTTGCTGGAGACAACTGAGGAGTATTGTAGGGAGTCATTTCTAAACTGCTGCTTTTTCCTGGCTTTGCCTGGGGGAGGTTTGCCAATAAATTGTCAAGAGCCATTCTATCTTCTCTCAGTTGATCTCCAGACATTACACTCTTCATAAAATTCACCTAGCAAAAGTAAAATGATATTAGGTAGTGAAATCAATTTTTCAAACACAGTATGTATTTCTCACACAGTATACTCATCTATGAGTCTTAGATAAGTGACTTTTGAGAAAATCCTATTAAAGAATAAAGCCATTACCAGAGTAATAAGCTGACTGTAAGTTATATAAACCACAGTTCTGCTCAACCCTTCCAGAAGATTAACAGAGGACATTGGAGGGGTCTCCACTGCACGGCCGCCAATCACAACATCAAGGAAAGCAGCAACACAGCTCTGTTAAAACAGAAACAGATCACAGTAAAAACAGTATAAATACACTGTGTAGACAGTGACTACACAGTGAACATTTCCCCTTTAAAATAAGGGAACAAAATTCTGATTAAGGTGGACAAGAATGCAAATAAGGTTTTCTTCTTGAAAATTTTATTAAACCAAACATTTTAAAAAATTAAACTCTTTACAACCTATTCAAATATGATTAAGATTTTAATTAAACTAACTGAACAATGCCATGTTAACTTAAGAAATACACTTATTATACAATTATTGATGATTTGAATTTAGTGACATTTTGTAAAATTAAACTTTTAAAAATAATCTTAATAGCTCCTGATTCTCATTACAGTGGCATCTCAACACTTTCATAAGTGACAATTAGTCATCTTTAGTGACTTCTTCCTTTAAATGCTGCCAATCTGACACTGAATCCTCTACAGCTATACCAAGACTAACTGAAAATAATAATTTATACATCACCTAAGGATAAGATTTAATAAAGAAAATAGTTAGGTTTGCTAATACTTTGGCAGAACTGTCTACAAACAGTATTTCATATGACACAGTATTCATTCTTACTTTGTCAAATTTCCCAAGGCTGCTCTTTGTCCGGGGATCGCCCTCTTCAGAGCCAGTCATCGCTAACTGCTGCAAAAGGCGCCCAACCTGCAACCCAAAGCAGTGGTGGGAAGACACAGGCTACAGACATTCACAAATCCCTCCCTGTGAAAGTACTTCCACTTAATTTTAAAAATCTGTTTCACAATAATATTCACACCAACACCACCTGACCAGGAATACAACAGGGTCCCCAATAAAATGTACACCTTGTCTACACCAGCTTTTTCTATATTAAGAATTATGGAGAAGCAGCAGAAAATTTTGCTTTCATTTCTTTTAAACACATTATATCAATAAGAGGAAATAAAAATACAACACATTTTTTGATACTGTAATTTCCATGTGTTTAGAAAATTTTTAATTAACTTGTAAAAGGAGATTCAAACTATTTCAAATATTAAATACCTTTCCCTATGTAGTCCACAAAGTACTCAAAGTACAATTTCTTTTCCTAGATTTAAAAGCAAACAATTCCTACAGAACATAAGCTGACTGGAAGGTAAGTATTAGTTCATAGAGTAAGCTCCTTACTGCCAAAAACTGTTAATCCATTCTCTTTAAAGATACTTTGTTGAAAGTTACATCATAAAGCATCATCTTAGTATATGGGACAATCCTCCATTTCACTCATTTTGAAAATATGTAACCCAATCTCTACTGGAATGACAAAAATGAGAACTACATTAACATTTGAATAAATTTAATGTTTCACAGATGAAAAAAAATTTTTTAATTTTATTTCAGGAATTTATAGTTAACTGCTAAACACCCCAATATGATAGAACTGATCATGAAAAAAAGGTAATCATCCAAAGATACATTTTATTCAAATAAATTCAGTCCCTTCTTCACAGTATTTCTGAGGGATAAAAGATTGCCTTTGGAAATATTTCAGTAGTTCAGATGAGGAGGAAAAAAAAAAAAGTGATAGTATTGATCCAAAAATCCTTTCTGAAATCTTTAGGTCCAAAACAGTTTCAGATTTCAAAATTTGGGAGATTTAGAAAGGTTGGTTAGTGTAATATGTAACATGTACAATACTTAAGGTGGCATCCTGTAATCAAACACAATAACATTGCTGCCCCAAAACATGACTATTCATTTGCACCAAATGGAAGAACTGACCATTATAAACAGTCTCGTGTTAGTTCAGGTTATGTTTTGCTACCAAATGACACTCTCAGTTTTCAATCATTCTGGATTTTGAAAACACAGGAAAGGTATGGTGGATTTGTTTCAGAAAATCCAATCAACTACACATCCAAGTATGTGAGGACTCTATTTAAAAAACTAACATAAGATGTTTTATGACTACAATATTTTAAAATCCCAATAGACTGCTTTCATTTCTTAAGAAGCAAATACTTAGGACAGTTTGAAGAAACAGAAGAGTAAGAATATATGAATATTGTCATATTTTCTATTTCTACCCCTACTGCCCAACTGATTTTAAACTAAATGCCGCATTAATAATAGCAAAAGCATACCTGCATCAGATTAAATCTCGCCACCTCATTAATAGGAGCATCAGAAATTATTCCATATTGTTCTGGATTGACAACTGCAGGACAAATGAAGCAGGCCAACAGGAGATCAGTACACATTGCCCTGACCTCCCCAACTTCCAGTCTATCCACACAGGACAGGGTTTTGTACATCTGTGACACAATCCACCTTAAACTATGTGGAAAGCAATATGTGTTCTGCTTGAGATAACCAATAAATTTGTTCACCAAAGCCACTAGTTTGGCCTCATTGGAATCTACCATCTCTTGAACCTTTTGCCTGAATCTATCTGAGCCTTTCTCTCCAAAGAGTTTCTCCTGTTGAGATGGGGAGAACCTCTCAATTAGCTTGTTTGGATCTGTTTCAAGGTGATCTTCATCTTCAACCAGCAGTTGCATGATCGGCTCATGCAAAGTAGCTGTGAGGAAAAGTTTGGCAGAAAACAGTCCTTCGGAAAAAAGTTTAAATAAGATGCTGAAGGCACAAGTTCCTCTCCTTAGAAGTCGCCTGGGGTTGTCACTTTCCTTAAGTTCAAATTCAATCAAGTATCTCAAAACCTGAAGGAGGTAGCTTTCATCTTCTTGCATAATGCAGTTGCCATAGAGGGAGGTAAAAACTGTGTAAATAACACTGTGTGTGTTCTCCTGATTAAGTTTCTCTCCAGCAACCAAAGAGGAGGCAATAAGACGAGGATTTTCCCTTAATCGACTCAAGAATTCCCCATAAGCAGTCTCCTGAAATCCCAACTGCTTATATCCATCAACAAATTGTGTATCTTCCAAAATCTTGGCATGCTGGCAACATTCAGCAGGAGAAGCTTCAGCACTAAAAACCAAGCAAACAAAATAACAAAATTAACAATAGTGTAGCACACATACTATACTGAAACATGGAAATGTGAGTTGATTATAATCCCAGCAATGAGATCACTTTGGATTGCTAAAATAATTTAGACCCTCAGCATCTGAATATGTAAAGAAAGACAAAAACAAAGTACAAACAAGGACAAATTCATTGTATTAAATAAGGTTCAACTAAAAGTATCAAGAAGTAACCATTATTCTGATTTCTATCATCAAAGATTAGTCCTGCCTTTTTTTGAACTTCATATAAATAGAATCATACAGTATGTAATCTTCTGTGTCTGACTTCTTTTCTCAACATTATACCTCAAGCACCACTATTTTTAAAGTTAAAAACTGCTTCTTGGACAAGAGAACAATGAGGTATTAACAGTTAAAACTGAGGTTTCTAAAATTGAAAAACAGATATACAGTATCAGAACATGGCAATATATATATTAAATAATAGAAAAACAACACAAGACAGTTTACAACGTTATACACAGAGATACAAAATTGATAGGTGTAGTATAAAATATTAATGCTTAAGTTATAATTCTCTGTAACAGCACTTAAGGTAATAAAACAGGCAAAGATTTACATTAACGTGGATTTAAATTATCTTAAACCATGTACTTTGCTGGAAATAGATCTGTATTTACAATTAGCACAGAATTATAGTGGCTCATAAAATCTGAGACCTCAAAACTTTTTACCTGGTTATGATAAGCCGATCCAAATTAATTCTCTGTTGCTTAGCAATCCATGCTGTACGGTACAACTTCTCAGCTGTCTTAAGGACATCTGCATTGAGCCTCTGAATGAGCTGTTTCTCAGAATTTACATATAAGCGTTCCTGCTTGAGGTGATGGGCCAGACTATGAATATCTAGCTTCACCATCTTCAAATGTGGAAAAGGTACAAGGCTGATCACTAAGAGCAAAAAAGACAAATTGAAAATTTTTATGTCACTTGAATTGTTTTCCAAAATCAAAACGGGTAAGAGAACACGTTAAGAATTAGGTAGGCTACATTGAGCACTAAGATTAACTCTATTTTTAAAATAATCTGTTTTTTTATTATAGAAGCATTCAGGTTCAGTATAGAAAAATTAGTAAATACAGATAAGCAAAAAGAAAAGCTTCTAATAAAGCCACCTCTCAGAGACAGCCACTGTAAAAACCTTCTTTGTATCCTTCAAGTACAGTGTCTGTCTATTAACCAGCTTTTCCTTGACTTCCTACAGCTTTTCATTATAATCAATCAACATACCCTGCTGACTCTCTTTAAAATACATCTCCAATCTGACTACTTCTCACCATTCCATCATTACCTCTCACCCTAAGGCCTATGACCACTATTTCCTAACTGCTCTCCCTGCTTCCTTTCTTTTACTACTAGAGTCCGTTCTCTACATAGCACAGTGTCCCTTCAACTTGCGTCTGACCACTTTATTCCTTTATTATAAACCATCCAATGGTTTATTTTACACTTAGAAGGAAATTTGAAGGTCCTACATGATCTTCCCTAGGCTACTTCTCCAACTTCATTTCCTACCATTCTACACTTGCTCACAAAGCACCAGACACACTGGCCTCCTTGCTTGAACAGAACAAGCATCCCCTTCCCTAAACCTCTGCATTTGTTGATACCTTTGCACAGAAGGCTATTCCTCCAGATATCTTTACAAGGCTAGTGACTTGACTTCACTCAGGTCTCTCTGCTCAAATGTCTAATTAGAAAGGCCTTCTCAGATTCTAAAATTTAAAAAAAACCTTTCTACTCCCTCTTCCAGCCTTTTTAAAAAGTACGTGTACTGTCTAGTATTACATCACAGGCACCTACTTGCATGTTCATCTTGCTCAGAGTATGGCTCTCCCGCTAAGAGGTAAGAGCCACCAGAGCCAATGCTTGTCTGCTGTATTTACTCATAGATATAATTTCAGGACCGAGGAGAGGGCCTGGTTCACAGCAGGAGTTGAATAAACATTTGCCAAAGGAATGAATGAAATCACACAATTCTTGTTTATCTGGTAGCTGAACAAACTGATAGAAGTAGCATTACTATTTAAGTTATACGCCTGAATCTAGAATGCCAGCCAGACCACAAATATTTTATTTCAACAATAAAAGTGCATCTAGCCCAGATAACAATACAACACTGTGTGTCCAGAACAGCCAATAGTCATTAAGTTAGAAAAATACTTCTCATTAAGAATTAAGCATTATGATTGCATACTTTCATATGATTGAAAGTTGCTGTGACAGCAGAGCTTTAACGTTCTTACCATAACAACAAAATGGTAATTATGTGAGGTCAAGGATGTGTTAACTCACACAGTACTATTGTAGTTAAACTTTTGCAATATATACATATATCAAACCATCACATTGTATATCTTAAATGTGTAATATGTTATATGTGAATTACATCTCATTAAAGTTAGAAAAAAAAAGTTGCCCCCACCAATAAGATTCAAAAGTCACCTTACTGTATCAAACAATACAATTTGTAGTGAATTCAGATTTTAAGAGAGATGACAACCTAGACTCTCAATGTTTACAGATACAACAAAACATGTTCACAGATATGAAATAAACATTTTTGATGCTAAGGCCAATAAAAAAGAGAAGAATTAAACAGTATGGTAGCAGGTGGAAATAAATTTAAAACCACTTTTACCTAAAGGAATAGATATAACAATTTTTAAGTTCAGAAGTTTTTACATTTTCTTATTTTAATGGACTCCTGATGAGTAGGAAAATTTCAGATATTAAGATCTAATCTGAATTTGTTTTCAAAAAACACTTTCTTGTACCTTAACAATTCCCTAGCAAACTATGCAAATCTGTTAGTCCAAATCTCCTGTATATTGTTTTCCTCTCAAAAGGAAGAAGTATGTCTACTTCACCAAGATGATTTGCTATTAATCACAACAGCATCTATGTACATTAAAAAAAATTGGTGACACACATATACATAATCTTATTAACTCAGCTTACAGAAGATGCATATATGACTGTAGATTTCCATGTGGGAACTCTAACATCCTCTAGGATGCTGTAAGTCCATTGGCCAAGAACAGAATCACTAAACAACTGATTGTAATTATAAGAAGTGTTATAGTTAATGAAAATGGTAATGAAATGGGCTCTTAAAGATCTAAATGCTTCATTAATTAGTTCTGTTGCCTTGGGCACATAATACATACTCTCTGAATCTCCATTTTTTTCCATCCATAAAAACGTAGACAAATATCTACATTTATTTTGGGCCTGGTATAAGCAACATATTTGATACTGGGATATAAAAAGAAATAAAACCTAGCATGTATCTTCAAGGGCTTTCTTAACTCATACAATGAGGCAGACATGCAAGCAAATGGCCACCCAAAAATGGTATGGGCATTATGCTAAGAGACTGTATGTGAGAAGTAGAGACAAAAAGAAGTGACTGAAGAGTCAAATAACTACATCTCACCTTAACAGACAAGTATGGGAGCATCTTATTACACTGATGGACAGTGACTACAATGGGGGACAGTGGTGGGGACTTGACTATATGGGTGAATGTAGTAACCACAGTGTTGCTCATGTGAAACCTTCCTAAGATTGTGTATCAATGATACCTTAATAATAAAAAAAAGACAAGTATGGAGGTGGGGGGCGAAATACAAGTATTTGCCAGACATAAAGAGGATGGTGGGTAGGGATAGAATTCCAGATAGAGGGAGCCAGCCAAGCAAAGGCACAAAGATGTGTAACAAAAAGTCTATTTTGAAAACTATGCATGGCTTGCTACAGTCTTGGGGGCATGTGTGTGTGTGTCTGTGTGCTGAGTGAAGCTGGCAGGAGGGAAAGAAGGGTATAATGAAAGATAAGGCTGCACAGACAGAAGGTACACAGACACCAGAGTTAAGAAACTAGGACTTTGCACTGCAGGGGGTGGGAAAAGAGTTTTAAACAAAAAAACTAACTTGATTAAATTTATATTTGAGAGTATAAATTATCAGTAAGGAAGAGAATAAGGAAGTGAGGATGGCACAAGATGAAGGAAGACAGAAATCGGTGACAGGCAGGAAGTGCTGCAGTGGCAATGGAAAGAGCAGGACAAATCTGAGAGATGTTAGGAGGTAGAAAATACAAGATTTGCTGGCACTACATGGGGGAAGGTGAGGTAGAAGTTTCCAACTCTGGTGACTAGAGTGGTGTGGTGTTACTTATCAGAATTGAGTATCATATGAGGAAATACATTATAAACTGAAAATTGTGCCTGTGTAGTTCTAAGGACTTTACACACTGGATCTTCACAATATCCCTGCTGAGATAGGTGCTTTGCAGCTAAGGAAACTGAGGATCAGAGATAGTAAGTAATATGCCCAAGGCCACACAGGTGAGAAGTGGTAGAGCCAGTACACTATTATTACCCTGATCTCTGTAAGAATGACTCAGAAACCCATGATTACTCAAGTAAATATTTTACTTTTAAGAGATGCATGCTCAAATATGTAGAAGTAGGGTTAGGATGTCTGTAACTTACTTAGCAAAAAAACTCAAGAGATTTTTTAAATGCAGCAAAATGTAAACAACCGTTGAATCTGGGTAGAAGGTATCTGGGGATCCCTTTACTATCCCCTAACAGTTTCAGACATGTTAGAAATTTTTCATAATAAAAAGATAGGGAAAATATTTTAGAAATTCTCCAAGTGTGCCCCCTTTTTTGCTACTTTAGTACAATTTAATTCAACAAATATATTACTGAATTTTGTTGGAGCCTAACCAGGCCCCCTAATCTCAAGGAGCTCATAGTCTCATTACAACCAAAAGACTGTTCAAGGCAGAGGGCACATGAAATGTTTCCAAGGATGGCAAAGTATGAACCAATTTATGCAATTCAGAAATTAAAACCTTCAAATATAACTTCACTTAAAAAAAATTAACACATGAAAGTAATGTTCCACTTAATTTTTTAAAAAGTAAATGTAAACAATGGTGTGTGGGGGATCATGGGGAAGACACTGTACCTCAGTGAAGACAAATAAGGACTCTGTGGCATCTTACTACACTGATGGACAGTGACTGCAATGGGGTATGGGGGGTACTCAATAAAATGGGTGAATATAATAACCACATTGTTTTTCTTGTGAAACCTTTATAAGAGTGTATATCAATGATACCTTAAAAAAAAAGAAATGCTTTTGCAGCATCCCACAAAAAAAAGTAATGTAAGCAAGAACTCATCTTCTAAATGCTTCAATAGACCTAAATGTCTTCAAAGACATTTTTGTAAAGATGTTTTAAATAAACATAGACAAACCTGCTACGCAAATTTTTTCTTTAATCAAGTTCAAGAATTATAAGCTTTGCTGCTTTCTTTTCTATAGTAAGCCAGTCAGAATGCTGTCAAAAAATAGTTAGTGGCTTACCCTATAAAACAATACTTTAAAAAAAATCATTGTGTAAATGTAAAATCCTTTTTCCACAAAATATGAATTAACTCTGACCTATATGATTACCCACAATTTACCTAAATTAAGGTCATTTTAAATTCTTATTTAAAAATTAAATTCATATTCTGAATATTATTTTATATAACATGCAGCACATGCCAGGGCACAGTGATATTATACCTGTTCCATTAGAGTGTAAGCACTGAGGGAAAGAACGAATTCACCCTTGTGTCCTAGCAAAGCTAATGGCAGTTAGGAGAAGCGCAACATGTTAACAGAAGTCAATTCAGGGAGCACCACGTGCCCTGGGCTCAGACATTTTGAAAAATAATACTCCCCCCTCTACACACACACATAAATAATAATACCTAATAGATCATTACTTAAAAACAACAGTTGCAAAAAAGGGTGTGAGAGCTTAAAAGGTAAAGTCTATAAAAGTCTGCCCTTCTAAGGCATCACTATAACACAAGAGGAGTTAAG